TGTCATAGTTGATTTTGTGATTGGTGGGGTTTGTGAACAAAGGTAATAATGGAAGATGATAGAGGTCTTTGAGGGAAGTGGTGAATGAAATTAGAACAAGAATTTGGAGTGGTTTCTTTGTCAAAATTGTATGTGAATTTGGGGATTTTCATTGGCAAATGAAGGAAATCTCCATTAATGAGTACTAGATCATATTTTGAATACTTCAAGCTAATCAAACTCCTAAAGGAAAAAAATAATAATATATACAAGAAAGGTTCATTACAAAGCCATATCAGCTTAGTTTACAAATGAATGGGACCGCATTGGTTCAATTACAGGATTCAACTCTACTTGGTTTTGGAAGCTGGTGAATAACAAGATAATTTAAGGATAGAAAAGACTGACTCAGTTAAGTCTATGGGTCAACTTAGCTCACAAGCATCACTACTCAATTACACACAATGACAACTTTGTTTAGAGGCTAAATCCTTCTCAGATAGATAAGACTAAGGCTTCGTTTGGGACGGCTTTTTTATTGCTTTTTAAAACGGAGTTTTAGTAAAAAATAAAAATAAAAATTTTATTAAAATTCTGTTTTAGAAAGCAATAAAAAAGCCGTCCCAAACGAAGCTTAAGCTGAAGCAATTTGAAGAGGCTGAGTCCATTCAGGTGAAGTTTGAGCTTACTCAATTTGAGGAAATTGAGCTCGAACAAATTGAAGTCCAATCATCTCATTCGAGACTATTTGTTATCATTTGAGCTCAATACAAGCATAAACAACCCATTAGCCAGATTCCCCGTTGCCTTGAGAGTCCTCTATTGAAATAATAGCAGCAATTCCTAACATACAAGCATAAGCAGCCCAACCCGTTCCCCTCCCTCTCACGGCCCAAACCAAGGCCCAAGAATTCCCTTTCTTCTTGTTTCAGATCTAGCCCATTATGTACCTAACAATACCGCTCCATTTGACTAAAACGGCCCACCTGTGCTTCCCTTGCTTGCCTAGAGAGGCTACACAAACAGCAAACTTCAGTCCACTTATTGCTCTCATATAAATTCCCTCACAGCCACTTCATAAAGCATTCCAACTCCTCTACCAACTCAACCCAAAGCCGATTCAAACCTCCAACCGACCCTCACATCCAGCCATTCGACCACCTAGCAAGCCGCAAACCGACCGGAGAGGGTAATCCCTCTTTCTAATTTTTTTAATTTTTTGTTATTATTATTATTATTAATTGATATTAATATCAGTATTAGTATTATATTACTATTTATATTATTTTACTATTATTATCATTATTAATGATATTATTGATTTTATATATTAGTAATATTATTAATAATGTACCTAATAGTAATACAATAATAATAATAATAATTGTTGCGTCCAGGAGTATTCGCGGTGATAGAGAAATATCATATTTAACGTCTTAGTGTTGTACAAAAATCCGGCACGCAATCAGATAAGTGAGTGTAGCATTTATAAGACACCAAGATTTTAACGTGGAAAACCCCTGTAAAGGGGGAAAAACCACGGGGCCTAGCCCAGTTTGAATGAATCCATTAGTATTGTAGTCGATTATAAATGAGGCCATTCCTTGGGAGAAGACCTTAGCTTGATGTACGTTTTATAGAGTACATTACATGATGTGAATATAAATAATCACTATTGACATGTTCATTTGGTAGGAAGGACCTAGTCGGCGGGCGACGTAAGTCAGGAAGACCGTAGTCGGATGGCGACGGAAGTCGGAAGGACTGTAATTGGTGGGCGACGTAAGTCAGAAGACCGTAGTTAGCGGGCGAAGGAGGTTAGAAAGACTGTAGTCGGCGGGCGACGTAAGTAAGGAGGACCGTAACCGGCGTGCGACAGAGGTCGGAAAGACTATAGTCGGCAGGTGACGTGAGTCAGGAGGACCGTAGTCGGCAGGCGACAGAGGTCGGTAGGATTGTTGTCTTGCGACGGAGGCTGGAAGGACTGTGTATGACGATGAGGGTCAGAAGGACGGCGTCAGGTAGAAGTACAACAATGGAAAGAAATCCATCTTCGAATATACGTCCAGCAAAAGTCCGATAATCGGTGGAAGTCTGGCGTCGGGTAAAAACTTGGCGAAGAGTGAAGGTCCGACGTCAAGTAGAAGTCCGACGTCTATTGGTGGCTGAGGAGAACTCTGACATCATTTGAGCGGAGTTTCAGCGTTATGAGGGAACTCTGTCATTAATTGGGAAGAATTTCAGAATCCCGTGGAACTTAGGCAGAATTCTGGCGTCCCGTGGAAGTCGGGCAGAATTCTGGCGTTCACTTCTTCTTCTTCTTTTTGGTTCC